GATCTTTTATGTTGATGTGTGCAAGTACTGGTATTCACTTGTTTTGTGGAAAAGACTATTTGATTAATTAATGCAGAAGTATAGAAGTGCATTACTTGTAATTTTTAAACTTTATATATATATATATATATATATATATATATATATATATATATATATATATATATATGTCTCAGTTGTTTTTCACAATATTTTTTTAAAGCAGGGCTGAAGCACATGCTACAGTATAACATAAATATTAAAAATATATTGCTCTAGTCCTATACAAGGTTAAATAAGTTATAAGGTTACACATTGCTATACACACAAAGTAAACACAAAAAATACTTTAATTTAGCAACAAGTATGCTTTCTGTAAATACACTAAAATTTCACTAAAACTATGTTTGTTTTTAGCATATTTCTAAAAGTGTAATTAAGTGTATATTTATTTGCATTGCGTTTCTAGTAAAACATTTTTAAATACAATTAAAATATGTTTGTATTTAGCATATTTCTTAAAAATGTAATTAAATACCAATGTACTTCTAGTACACTTTTTAGAAACATATTTAAAGCATGATTGTCATTAGCATATTTATTAAAAATATAATTAAGAATACATTTATTACCAATGTACTAATAATATACTTTTTTAGAAATACATTAAAAGTATGCTTTTCTATAGTGTATTTCTTAAAAGTGTATTTAAACATATATTTATTACCAATGTAGTTCTAATATACTTTTTAGAAATACATTTAAAGTATAATTATCATTAGCATATTTATTAAAAATATAATAAAGCATACATTTATTACCAATATATTACTAATATACTTTTTATAAATACATTAAAAGTATGCTTTTCTATAGTATATTTCTTAAAAGTGTAATTAAATATATATTTATTACCAATGTACTTCTAGTATACTTTTTAGAAATATACTGAAATGCAATAAAATAAATTTTTAGTACACTTTAAATAAGCATGTTGTAAATACAAATGTATTATAAACACACTATTTGTATTTCAAATATATTTTTAATACATTTAATACAACGTCTTTTTCACCTGGGTAGGCCTACTCTTTCAGAAGATGTGTCACAGCGCCCCCAGTGAAAACAAGGAAAGATAGAAATTCCGGGATGGGTCAGTCTGCGGAGATGCAAGAGAGGGGCATAACTTAAAGTAACTTTTAGCAGTAGATGTAACTCTTAGGCTGCGTCCGAAATCACATACTCTCTTGAGTAGGTACTTATTTTGAATCGGAGTAATAACTTAAGGGCTGCTAAAAAATTATGTTCTATATAGTATCATTTGCACACCAAAATCTGGCTGGAAGTAGAAGGTCATCCAGGAACTTTTTTGCCTACTTTTTTTATCAGTACTTTTTTACAATCAGAGATTGGTTTGGTTTTATTTTCTTGAATAACGTTATTTTCCAGGTAAAGTTAAGTTTTGATTGATTCACTTCCGTCGAATGATCATTTGTTATTAAATTGGGGGGGCGCTAAGATGACACCGTTCTCTCTAAACAGACTTTAAACGCGAACCTGTGATAAATGCTGATGGTGTTCACATGCACATTAAGAATTGATTCTTTAGTTGTGTCCGTTTGAATATATGTGTTTAATTTTGAAACAGAATTTTATTTTGAAACAGAATTTTATTGTATCACTTCGGGTTGGTACGTAAACCCTAATTTCCACAACGCTTTGTCTGTGGAGTGGAATAGGGATCCTCCATAGAGAGAGGCTAGTTGATACTTCAGCACTTCGGGTCCAGGCGAAGGTACTTCGTCAGATCTGGATACGGCCTGGATCCGGCAGGCTGCGGGAAAACTTCGGGATAAACAAAGACACTAAAATTAGCGTAGATGCCATTCTACTTATGATGTAACGTGTACATCAGGATTTATGGGAAGTGTTTCCAGTTCCGGCTGACCTAATCTACGCAGCCTAACATTGAATTATAGAAGTTGAGGTAACACTTCATTTCGATAGTCCACTTTAGACGTTCTACTAACTATAAGTAACTTTTCAACTACATGTCAACTAAGTGTCATTAGTAGACTGCTAACACTTTATTTTGTTGTTCCCCCAACAGACATTCAACTGACTTGACAACTACTTGGCGACTACAAATAAACTTATTCTACAAACCCAAACCCTAACATTCTACTGACAGTCTACTATAATATACTAATACTCTAATGACAGTTAGTTGACATGTAGTTGAAATGTTACTTATAATGAGTAGAGTGACTATCGAAATAAAGTGTAACCGAAGTTGATAATGCATTATGCGTATGCTAGGCCAAAGAGATGTGTTTTTAGTCTAGCTTTGAACTGACAGAGTGTGTCTGCTTCCCGGACAATGGTAGGAAGACTATTCCAGAGTTTTGGTGCTAAATAGGAAAAGGATCTACTGTCAGCAGTCAATTTTAATATTGTTGGTATTATCGCAACTGGCCGGAAGTTTGAGATCGCAATAGACGTGAAGGACTATAATGCGTTAAGAGCTCGCTCAAGTACTGTACTGCGGAGCTAAACCATTTAGTGCTTTGTCAGCAATATTTTGAGATTTACGATGTTTAATAGGCAGCCAATGCAGTGTTGATAGAATCGGGCTAATGTGATCATACTGGTTCTTAATGAGATTTCGAGCTGCAGTGTTTTGAACTAGCTGAAGTTTTTTTATTAAGCGTGCAGGACAACCACCCAGTAGAGCATTACAATAATCTACGCATGAACTAATTGTTCCACATTTGTCAATGAGAGCATATGGTGTAATTTAGATATATTTGTAAGATGGAAAAATGCGGTTCTACAGATACTAGACACATGACTTGGTTTAAATGAGCAGTACCTTATAAAACCTTATTTTTCCATCTTAAAAATATATCTTTTTAGCTTTTAGTATGGACATGTTAGTCTTAAGATTATGAATAAGCGGGTGTGTTCCAAAACAATGATGAAATTCGCATTTAGGAGAAATGAGCATTCAAAACTTAGCATTCATAACATCACGGCGGACTTCTCATCACATGTTCTGTCTAAATCTAAAGCGTCCCACCCCCTATGCTATAAATAACACCTGGCCAAAGCAACCGTTGAGAGAGCAATATGGGTTGGAGATGAGTGTTAGGTTGCTCAAAAGCTTGAGTTTGATTCCGTTTAACAAATGTACGTTGGTTAAGAATGAAATGAATGAAAGAAATTCAAAGAATCAGCGCATCATACAAAGCTTCACATTCCAAGGCACTTCAGTGGGCCTTTAAGAAAGCAATAAACGAGAAGTGCCAGTAATACAAAATTTCAGTCATTAAGATTAAGAAATAATGAGAGCATATACAAAGGAATAGTGACAGCATAGAATATTTTTTAGCAGGATGAGTTTTCAGCTGTTTTTTTTATTTTTATTTGTTTGTTTGTTTTTGAAAATTGGACAAATTTGGCTTCCAGGATGGGGTTGGGAGCCAGCAAGGAACAGTGAACGAATTTCTCCCGATTTCTCTCAACATGGGGACATGTTGGCCAATACTGTTTTTGGTAAAATAAAGTAACTTGTTTGAAAAAGTATTTACTAGTTTTGTGGAACAAATAATCTGATTACATAACTCTCGTTACTTGTAATGCGTCTCACCCAAACACTGGTTATTAAATATGTGCAATTTTTAGAGGACTGACTAAATATCACAAATATCAAAGATTTACGATCATAAAAGGACAAAAAGCTATTCAATGTTAAAGGACAACTCCGGCACAAAATGAACCTTTGGTCTAATTACACATTGCTACCTAGTCAACCGTTATCTGAGATTTGTTTTCATGATTGCCGAATGTAAATAGTTTTATCTCTAAAAACAGTTTAGCCTATAACGCTAGTTCAATGCTAGTATATAGGGCATAGAGTAATGACAAATACAAATCGCTTGTTATTACCACTAAAAAGGCTCAAAATAGCCCCACACCAAAACGACAGCATAACAAGGGTCCCTACATTCAAACCGAAGCGTTGAGAACTTTGTCAGTGTCCACACAGTTTAATAAGAAGATATTTTATACACACAGTAAATTTCGCGAATACAGGAAGAAGCCATCTTTGAAAAATAGTCTCTACCAGTCGATCTACGAACGCCAATCCAAGTGCGCTGAACTGTGCAGAATCTCATATGATCCGTTGTTTCCAGAAGAAACACAAACACAAACCGTTTACTTGTCTTCAATATGTACACGTAGCCTACTGTTCACGCTCACCTTATCACCTTATTCCCATCTCACCGGCGCACTTGGATCGACGTTCGTAGATCGACTGGTAGATACTATTTTTCCAAGATGGCTTCTTCCTGAATTCGCGAAATTTACTGTGTGTATAAAACATCTGCTTATTAAACTGTATGGACACTGACAAAGTTCTCAATGCTTCGGTTTGAATGTAGGGACCCTTATTATGCTGTCGTGTTACTGTGGGGCTATTTTGAGCCTTTTTAGTGGTAATAACAAGCGATTTTTATTTGTCATTACTCTATGCCCTATATACTAGCATTATACTAGCGTTATAGGCTAAACTGTTTTTAGAGATAAAACTATTTACATTCGGCAATCATGAAAACAAATCTCAGATAACGGTTGACTAGGTAACAATGTGTAATTAGACTATAGGTTCATTTTGCGCCGGAGTTGTCCTTTAAAGGAAGGGGGTTAAGCGAAAAACTTACACCCCAAAACCTACAGATTAGAGAACCGTAAGTCCTTTAAATTTTTCCCAATTGAAGAGGATACAACTATGCTAAGTTTGGAGCAAAAATCATGGGTTAGGTGTGATGCGCTTGCAAATTATTTAACGTGTTCCAACTGCACAATGCACGGTCTGCCCCTATTCTTTCAAAACCCGATTGGCTTGTAGAAACTGAGGACGTCCTCAAGTTACATCACTTCATTTTCCAGCCCTCATAAAAGAAAGGAAGGAACAGTTTTTACCCACAGAAAGAAGATGAAGGTGATAACATGCTGACTGAACTTAAGAATAATCTTCGGCTTCGACATCCATGTTTTTTGTCAAGAGAAAAGACAGATCACATCAGTGCGAAGGTGACTCAGTTTATTTGTCCTAATTCTAATTTTTTCATAAATTGGAGGAAATGTGAAGTTGTCGTGCTTTGTTTTTTTGTTTTCAAAGAAATGGGATCTGATCGTGGGATCATGGACCGAGTATCCTATGCTCATCCCTTGACGTTTGGCTCGTCTTTGAACAACCAGTGTTTCCCCTTCAAAGACGCTCTGAAAAATCCCCAGAATGACCCAGAGCAAGTCAACTGTCAACGGTACATCGGAGGCTTTTCCTACCTGTCCTACCATGGGAACTTCAGTGTGCATGACCTCTCCTCGGAACCTGCATTCATCCACAGACGTAACGAGAGAGAGCGGCAGAGAGTCCGCTGTGTCAATGAGGGATATGCCAGACTCCGCGAACATTTGCCACAGGAATTTGAGGATAAGAGACTCAGCAAGGTAGAGACACTGCGGGCGGCCATAAGCTACATTAAACACCTGCAGGACCTTCTGGAGCTCAGTCTTTCTTAGGGAATGTCAGGGCAGAGGAACTCTTGTGTGAGATCTGGGACACTGTATGCTTGCCATTTAATTATTCATTGTTTTGTTACTTTTAATGTGATGAAGCTTGAACAAATGTAATGCGTCCCAGATGATACACTCTTTAACCAATGTCTTTGTTTGCATACTTGATTCTGAAAATGTTCATGATTTCCTTTCAGGAGCATGCACAGGTACGCTCTTAGAAAAAAAGGGTATAGCGTTCTTTACTCAACTCCAAAGGACATTTTATGCTAAAAAAGGTTCTATAATGACAAGAAAGAACCCTTTTGGCACAAAGGTTCTTTATAGGCTATTATTCATTCATATATTACATTATTCTGCAACATTTTGTAGTTGTAATTAAATGATTGTTTATTAAACTGATGTAGTAACTTAATATCACATTTTAATCATGCTTATTTTTGGCGGATAAAAACTGAAATGGCACTCATTACATTTTTAACCCCCATATCTTGAATTTTGTGATCATTCACATGCATTGCATTTTAAGGGTTCCAAATACGTGCCGCTTTAGAACCTTTTAAGGTTCTATAGACCATTTCACAAGATGTAAACAACACTGGTCCAGAAGCACTTCCTGTTTCAGTTTGTAACTGTTTTCTTTATTTCACATGTAAAGAAAACATCTTAAAGATGTTTGTTTAACTTTTTGATTCAGTTTTAAATGTTCTGTTGGTTGTATTTTATCCCAGCTTTTATGTAGTGTTAAAAAACTGAAACAGGAAGTGCTTCTGGGCCAGTGTTGTTTACATCTTGTGAAATGGTCTATATAGAACCTTTTCTTCTAAGTGTGTGTGCTTAAAATGTATTTTGACTAAACAACAAAATCAAGGAACAAACCAATGAAAAGGTTGAATGGACCCTTTAATGAAAAAAGACATTCATAAAATTATGCCCTTAATTCCAACACATTCTCACCCCAGAATGGGCTGTTAATTCTCATTCTTAACTTTTTGACATTATGAATTCCTTTTCTCAAAAACATCACAAATGTTATAAAATGTAATTGGTTAAAGGGGTATTCGAACAGTTTAAAAAAAGTTAAACACTGGTTTAAAATGTGCAATGTGTCTTTTTTTTTTTTTTTTTAAACAATATATATATATATATTTTAAAAAAAGTTTATATATAGCCTACTTAAGGTGTTCATTTAATCATACAATTATTTTTCTTTTCTATTTTTCTTTGTTTTCTCTTTTCAAACATGATGACCGTAGTTGTAGCCTATCAGTCTATATTGTGTTTAATTAAAATATGACAATATTTTCATTAAACACAATATAGACTGATAGGCTACAACTATAAAAACAATATGTATAAAAAAGTTGGTAACACTTTACAATAAGGTTTCATTTGTTAAACTTAGATAACAACAGTTAATGTGAACAATACTTTTAAACAGCATTTATTAATCGTATTTTACATTTACAAATACAAATTTTAAGATCAAAAGTTGCATCTCTTAATATTAGTTATAAACACTGTCAATTAACATGAACATGAATCAGTTAACATGAATCAATAACATTACATAACATTATCAATATCAATAACATAACATTAACGTGAATCAATGCAGTGAAAACATATCGTTCATTGTTAATTCGTGTTAGTTAATGCATTAACTAATGCTAACAAATGGATCTTATAAGTGTTACCAAAATGTTAATAAAAATTATGGATCCTACTTGTAATTTCACATCTGATGAAACTATCTTTGTGTATGGTCTATCTACACTGCTAGCCATACTTTTTGACAAATACTTTTTAAGGACAAGAACAGTCGGAGAGCTAACCTAATGGCCCTAAAGAAGCTGAAGCATTGTTTGCTATTGTGTTTATGGGATCTACAGCAAATGAATATTAAATCAATTTTCATTGGAACTTGAGTTGTTGCTGTGCACATATAAACAATAAATAAGACCCTACAAAAGAAGTTTGATAGAAATAGCCAAAACATCCAAATAACAACTTGAGCTAATGTTGTGATTGAGGCCATTCTAACAAATATGGTGGTGGGATTTACATTGAATCAGCCTATACACAATGAGGAACTGAAGATCTTCGGAGATGCAAAGATGATGCTGTCAAGGTACTATTCAGGGCCAAGATTTTTTTGTGTAATAATAGAGAGATAAATCAGTCAAAGGAGATTACCTGAAATCATTATACTTGACAATGTTGTGTTTAGAACTGAAACTAGCGTTGTGAGATTTTGATCTAATTGGTCAAACTGGTCAAAGGCTGTTCACATGAAAGCATTTTCAACTAAATGCGGAAAACAAATTTTGTAGTTAGACGGGAGACGATAGCGTTATTGTTTTCAAAAACTTGGACTTTGAAACCAAAATGCATAAAAACTGTTCAGTTTTTAATTGAAAATTGTGTTATGTAAATGCCCCACAAAGGGCAAGCTTTTGAAAAAGATACTGTTATCATCTCTGTGTAAACTACAAAATATATATATATATATATATATAAAAAATGTTTCAAGTGACCAGCTACATGCATAATACAGTGCTTTTAGTCGTTTTCAAGGATCTGCCTAAACACTGATTTTTTTTTTATATTACAGTATCTAATCTTCGAAAAACACAAAGGAAAATCTGTTCTGTTTTTAGTAGGCTACATCATTGTCTAAATTTACTCTTAGTTTCAAACATTGATTGAATTATATCACATGCTGAATCATTTTCAGGGTTTTTATTCACATTGAAATAGTATGGGATACTTTATCAGACAGCTCTTTATTCCACATGCAGCTTGTGAAAGACTCTGTACTGCAGGCAAATACAATTTATATCCATAACAATATAATAAATAAATATAAATTATTTGGTAACACTTTACAGTATGGGTACATGAATTAATCCATGCATTCATTCATGCATTACTATCTCGTGAATCATCAGGAACTAACACAAGTTCAATATTTTTCATTCATGACTTCATGAATGAACAACACCTTAATTAAAACATTAACTAAGATGAGCACATCATCATGAATTCAAAATTCAAATTATGTCATCATTTATTCACTCTCAAGTTGTTCTGAACCTTAAACTGCTGAACGCAAAATAAGATATTTTGAAGAATGTCAGTCACCAAACAGTTGTGGGGCACCATAGACTTACATAGTATGGAAAAATACTACTATGTATACTATGGAAGTCAATGTTGTCCCACAACAGTTTGGTTTCAAACATTCTGTAAAATATCTCTTATGTTTTCAGTAGAAGAAAGAAATGCATACAGGTTCAGTGCAATGTGAGAATTAGTTTAAGTTAATTTCACTATTCTCTAAAAGAATGAGTCCTTGTCATTTGTCAAGTCAAGTCACCTTTAGCGCTTTTTACAATATGGATTGTTTCAAAGCAGTTTTACGGTGATAACAGGAAAATAATGCTAAAAAGCTTGTTGATTTGTTTCAAATAAGGTTAATGGTTGATATTGCTTTGATTTAAGCATTTAATATTATTATAAATCATATTCACCATCACCATCATTCACCCGTTTACGCACAGATTTAACACCCAATCCTCTGTGGACAAGCCTGCCCCTCTGGATAATATGTTCTGGAATGTATTTTTTACTTTGAAAAGGAAACAGAGGAAGTATAAACCACATCAAGCCACAAAAATACCCTCTTCACCTCTGCTTATACTTCACGCTTTAGCTAAACTACTGGGAAGCGGCATGCATGTTCTTTTCTTGCTAAATGTACCAGCAAACTCTTAACCACCGCAACTGACCGGGAGACAGAAAACCAGCAAAGAGGAAAACCAATGAACCATGAAAGCTGGAAGAACGCTCTCTGTCAAGGTGGAATGAGAGTGTCAACAAAGCCCTTTCACAGCATCCGTGTGAATGGGAGCTGGTAATTAACAGAGGTGCTGGTACCCTGACTGTAATGGTTCAGTGGCAGGCAGCGGGAGGGAGGAAGTACAAATACGCAACTAGCACAATAATAGCCTTCCACCAAGATCACAATCACAGAAACACCACCAAGCTAGAAAGCAAATCTTCTAGCTTGCATTTTGTTTCACAAATAGAAGTGCACAAGATCTATCAGATAAAAAGTGATCAAAATGTGAACAAACTTTTGCTTTAGTTCTTTTTTTTATATCATGTTGATTGCGCTTACTAAAAAAAGTCTACTTAAAGTTCATTTCATTAAGTATACTTATATAAAGTTAAAGGATAGTTTTACTGTAAGTATACTTTATTTACTAAGTATACTAATATCAATGAACTAGTATTATACTTGTAAGTTTACTATTTCAGTACTAAATTGGCCCACTGTTTAGTGTTTTTAGTGTAAAAGTATACTTTTAAGTGCAACAGTTGTAATTTGTACTACAACTACACTGTAACAAGTGAACTTTTAATAATTTACTAGTCAAATTTACTAGTCTTTAGAGCCTTCTTTATATTGCAAGTATACTTGTTTACTCTACTGTAATTGAACATTAAGTGAAGGTATAGATTTTTTTTTTTTACCTGAAATTTACCTTTAACTGTACATCAAGTTTAAAGTAAAATACTTACATGTATTTAAGGTTCGAAATTAATTCCTATGTACACGTGACTACACATACTCAGAGTTAGGAAAATATCTATTTTATTTATAAATCAAATTAAATAAGACAGTATGTAAAACTATGTGAAAAAAATATTGAATATTGAATAGGCTGCCCAATCAATAGAGCAAATACAACTACTAACCAAGTATTCTTAGAATAACACACATTATACTTTCAAGTATATCTTGATTAAGTCAAGTCAAGTCACATTTATTTATATAACGCTTTTCACAATACAGATTGTATGAAAGCAGCTTCACAGTGATAACATGAAAGTAGTACAACACAGACCAATAATATTGTTGAATATTAAACGTCCCCAACTAAGCAAGCCAAAAGCAAGGCAACAGTGGCAAGGAACCAAAACTCCACCAGGTGATTGGATGGAGATAAAAATCTTGGGAGAACCCAGGCTCAGTCGGGGGCCAGTTCTCCTCTGGCTAACATACATATTGTATGTTAAAAATAAACAAACATTTAGTTAATCATGTAATATTAAGGGTATAACATATCGCCGGCGTTGAGTCGTCTTTTCACAGGTGTTGAGTTGTCTCTTCACAGGCATTGGTCTTCTCATCACAGGCATTGGGGCATCTGAAGTCTCAGTGAGAGGCTGGATACAAAACTGGAGCTGACGAACGCCACATAACAGCAGAAAAGCTGT